AATTTAAGTCAGTATTTTGAAGGATTATCAATTTCTTATCAATCTTTTGATAATTTGATGGACTCATTTGATTTCTGATCAAAATAAAAGAAAACAATCAGATAAATTTCTCTGCGTGTAGCACATTTTAATGAATTAAAGTAAACATTTTATGCACTTTATATATTTATATGAAAGGAAAAAAGTAAACAAAAGCAAAAGAATTTCTTTAATAATCAGTACAAACGTTGCAGAAATTAAATATGACAAAATGCTTAATTTATATCTAAATTTATATCTATACTTAATTTATATCTATACTTAATTTATATCTATACTTAATTTATATCTATACTTAATTTATATCTATACTTAATTTATATCTATACTTAATTTATATCTATACTTAATTTATATCTATACTTAATTTATATCTATACTTAATTTATATCTATACTTAATTTATATCTATACTTAATTTATATCTATACTTAATTTATATCTATACTTAATTTATATCTATACTTAATTTATATCCATACTTAATTTATATCTATACTTAATTTATATCTATACTTAATTTATATCTATACTTAATTTATATCTATACTTAATTTATATCTATACTTAATTTATATCTATACTTAATTTATATCTATACTTAATTTATATCTAAGTTACTATAATATTCTATTTTAACTTGGCAAATCTTAATTAAACAAGAAAATAACATAATTTTATGTGATATTATACCAATAATTTGGTTCTAAAAGTAAACAATATGATTGATTAGTTAAGTAAGATTAAATATAAAAACGATAAATTGAATTATTTAAAAATAAACTTAACTTTTTGTTTTGAAGTCAAATTTACTCATTAATATTTTATTTGCCAAAATTATAGCATTTTGCTATTGATAACATCTGGTGAGCCATATGTGGATTATAAAGGAAATGAAAGGAATTATTGGAATAAAATTCACAACGAATAATGTTTCAAGCGGTAAATTGAAGAATATGAAAGCATTGAAAATAATCAAAATGATAAAAATATAAAGAGAGAGAGAGAGAGAGAGAGAGAGGGAGAGAGGGAAGCAAAGAAAGAATAATGCCTGATGAATTTGTTAATTTACTATAAAAATCAAGGGAGAAAGGAAAATAAAGGAAGAGAGAGAGAGAGAGAAGGAAATAATATTTGATGAATTTTTTAATTGACTATAAAAAAAAACTCTGTGTAATATAAGGAAGAGTGTGCATGATATATGAAAGACAAATGAGGAAAAATGATTTCACTGAGAGTTATTTTTGATGATTGCCAGATGTAAAATAAATTTTAAGCAAGAAAAGAAGGAATAAAAATGGAAAGATTAAATGAATAAAAGTGCTATCGGATATTTTGATGGAATGAAAAAAAGAAGAAAAAGTAATATTTTAGAAACACAATAATTTCAAACGTTTCGTCATTTTAAATTTTATAAATGGTAAATATAAATAAATTAATTAATTAATTAAAAATAAAATGAATTAATAAAATTTGGAGAAAATTTTTCCTTCTCTTTCACTATAAATTGTTTAATTGAGATTATTTATCATATTATATCATATATATCAGTATTGAATGTTACATTATCAATCATTGCAGATTTTTCAAATAAGGAAAAAAATCCTTTCTCACCTGCAATTCGCATTATGTCACTATTTCATACATTTTACAATCTTTATTTGTATACTATTTCGAATTGCAACGAAATCTCTGCCACAAAATAGACGCACTATTTCCATATCTTTAATACACTCTTGTGTTAACATTTTTCATCTCTATAGCTCTATAAATATTCCAATATATGCGCACTATTTCTTACATACAATATGGATAGCGAAGAAGGATATGGCATCAGCGTTGCATGCAATGACCAATGCAATAAGATATTTGGGGAATGTACTCAAGCAGTTGATTTACTTTCATTTTCTTCATGATTGGAGAAAAAGTGCGATAAAAACCTGGAAGCATATCATTTATTATCTTGGAATTTTTGTTAGAAACTCTATCTAGATTGTTGTTTTCATTAAATTTTTTCGTTAAATTTTTACTTAAAAAAATTTTTTTTATAAGTTGTTCGTAAGCATACGTCTTATATTCATCTAAAAAAACCATTTCAAAAACTGGAGATTTTGGATACCTTGCGTTATCCTGAAAGCATTCCACACTTCTCATTCTTAAAGAACTTTACACACATTATTTCTAAAGAAAGTTAACATCAGATTCATCTACTCTTGCTTAGAAAATTCTTATGTTTTAAAATGTTAAACAAAACTGATCAACTGAACGTGAAAACATCAATAATTATTGGTTAGTTAGACGGAAGATTACTTTTTTACCAAACCAGCCTGTAATAATTGTATTTCAGGATGGGTGAAAGTGATCATTATGGCTTCTCGCTCACAACTTTCAGGTACATTGCCTTATTTTATTGTTTGAAATGATAATGGAAACTTTCTGAAATCATCAGTTTTGCTTTTGTCATAATATTTTAAGTTGAAAAGATTTGTCAGTATCTGACTAGGGTATGATTATCTAACGATTTCACGCTACATTTTAGATGAGTTTCCCTATTCTTTTTTTTTTTTTTGAAAATTACAACTAATTCCTGTATTGTTTTTGATTATAAATTTTTCAAATTTTAGCCCTTCTGGCAAGTTAATGCAAATCGAATATGCTTTAAATGCGGTGAAGAATGGGCAACCATCAGTAGGATTGCGAGGTTTGATATTATTTAAATAACCTGTTGGAATCGTAAAACACTGTTATAAATCCATCTACAATGATTTTTTTTCCATTTTTGAAAAAAATATGCCGTCAAAATGTTAGCATTTTGGTAACACATACATATTTACATTTATAGTTAATTATTTATTTAGCTTTGCTTAATGCCTGTGCGGCTCACAAATTAGACACCATTTTATTTATCGGTATTGCTTGTTCGGTATTGCTTAATGATTTGTTGTATGCAGTTTCGGGATAAGTGCTATATGAGATCAACTGAAAGTAGAAAATTTTTCTTATATGTTTAAAATATTGCTGATAAATTAATTTCAGCATTAGATGGCGTAGTTTTGGCTACCGAAAACAAAATATCCGTGCTATATGAAGATCAACCGAAAGTAGAAAAAATTAGCCAACATATCGGTTGTGTTTATAGTGGCATGGGGCCTGATTACAGGTAAATGCATTTCAGTAATAATTCGAAATATTTTAAGCAGAAATTGCTGTAGCAACAGTGCTGTTTTAGATATGCTTTTGCAGTTTTAAACTTTTGGTTTGATGTTTGTCTACATCTTTTTGCATTTTTTAATGAGTGAGTGCTTTCATTCATTTCCCCTCCATTTCTTGATTGATAGGTGTTTGCTTGTTTTGATTAGATTACTTATAGATGCTTGTATTTATAACGCTTAATGAAATATAAAACTCTATAAATTGATATATTTAATATATTACATTCGCACGTTATTTTCCTGCTACTGAATATGTAGCAGATATGAGCTGTTATCTGTTTTTCTGAATTTAGAATTGCATGTCACCTATCATATTGTTTTTTAGATTGCTGGTTAAAAAAGCGCGGAAATTGGCCATGGAATATGAATTAATGTATGGCGAAGAAATACCGACAACACAACTTGTAACAAAGTTAGCTGCTGTAATGCAAGAATATACTCAGTCAGGGTAGGTAATTTTGCTATTAGTTTGATATTTCTGTTCCTTCTTGAATGCTTAGTGAATAACGGATGCGAATTAAAAAGAAAATAAGAAATGTATGCCAAATGGAATATGTAATTAACGGTAAAATATTTGTTTAAAATTAGTGAAAAATCACTCTGTTCCAAGCCCTTCTTTCGTCATTCGGGTATGTCCATATGGTAATTCAAAATCTTTTTAGCGGTGTAAGACCATTCGGTGTGTCAATGCTTGTTGCTGGCTGGGATCATGAGCCAAGTCCCGGTCGGCCACTTTTGTTCCAGTGTGATCCTTCGGTAATATTTTCAGTTTTCATAATTTTAAATTACTTGAAATGATTATTCGATAATGCTTTTTGAATGTGTAGCTTAAAACTAGAAATGATATTTTTACTTTATTTAGGGAGCATATTTCGCTTGGAAAGCAACAGCTTTGGGAAAGAATGATGTCAATGCAAAAACATTTTTGGAGAAGCGATTCAGTGATTCACTAGAGCTTGATGACGGTATTCATACAGCTTTACTGACACTACGTGAAAGTTTTGACGTTGGTATGACGGAAGATAACGTGGAAATAGCGATATGCAATAAAAATGGGTTCATGCGTTTATCAAAGCAACAAGTGAAGGATCATCTTGGTGCACTCTAATCAATGCATTTTTTATTATAGCTAAAAATAATGCAGTCCGTTGTTTTTAGCGGTACTTATGTCTCAATTCATATTTGAAATGTTTGAAGTCTTGAGGTAATCCTATCCTTTTCCTATTCTGATTATTTCTTTCTTTCATTGCTTTATATTCTTGCAATATTAAGGATGTCAAGAGGATTATATTTTAAAATAAAGGAATATCAAACTTTTGAGAATTAGGAGAAATAATATTATTCGTTAACCTTTAACCTCTCTTTGTAGATCATCTGGATCTATGTGTTCCGAATCTTTAATATCGACTAATATGTATACCATTGGAAAGTCAATGTTTTCCAATGGAATTTTTCTGGTTTTGTACTTATCTAAGCTGCAAATAAAAGAAATTTAGAGAATGTCTTTTTTAATGTTCTTTTCATATCTGGAAAATCCATAACAGATTCTTCTAGAAAAGCTGTTATTTATTGCATGTCATAATATTCATGTATTAGTAATAGAGATCAAATCTATTATTTTTGATAGCGCATCAGACTCAGTTATTTTGTTTTGTTACGATAACACTCGCGATCTCTCCTGTTCATTAGCCGAATTGTTATTGTTTTAATTTATTGCAGTGGATAGCCGATATTTGCGCAGAACAGGATATGTCGAAAACAAAGTATGTTCTTGTTTCACTGCAATCATTTCGATTCTAAAGTCTTGCCGTTATAGAAATTTTTAGGTATTTTTTTAATGAGAAAATATTTCTTTAAATACATTGTGGGAAGTAAGCTCAGAAATTTCCAAAAAATTAGAAAACATTGCTTTACGTGTTGCTGATTGAATGTGAGGAAGAAAGAAAATTTACTGAGCTATTGATTTAACAATTATTGATTTGAGAAAAGCCTTACTGATTATATTCTGAAATACTTACTTATTTTTTCAGATATGATTTTTATCAAACAGAAACACATGTTTTTGTGACGATATTGAAACGTGGCTTAACATTGGAACAATGTAAAGCACATTATGTAGATGGTTGCTTAACAGTAGTAGCAGCGGGTGAAACGTTATTAAACATACGGTTATCTCATCCGATTAATCCTACATCATTAGAACTGAAGTGCTTACCATCCAAAGTACTTTGTTGTTACTGTAGTTTTGTTTTTTTTTTTTTTTTTTTTGTAATGGTAATAAAGTATTATTGAAAGAAGCAGCTTTGGTAGGGAGTTTAGATGGATTTGAATTTTACTGCTAGAAATTTCCAGTTTTTGAAATCTGAAAAAATGTGAAACTAGTTTCATCGTCATTATTTTATTTTAACATTATCATACTATCATTTTTCTTATTGTTATGAATATTTTCATGTTGAATTGAAAATGGCAAAAATGACATTAGATCAATGGGAAACATTGGAAGAGAAAAGTGAAGAAAACAAAAATAAGGTCTTTTTTAAATGTTTAATTATTTTCAGGTTTAATATCTTTATAGAATGATTGTTCTGGTAAGTGATCTCAAAACATCATATGTATTGAGTGTTGTTACACTTTAGTAATATCGTAAGGATTAACTTTTGCTCTAATATATATTTGCTTATTCAGCAGCATGTTTTTTCGTTCAGCGTTTGGTTGCTTTTAAGCTGTTCAGGTGGAAAATCTATAAACTTTGCAAAATTGAAAGATGTTGTTTGACATATATTTTTCAGCCGGCATTAATTAGTTGGGATAAATTTGCTAAAGAAGCAGATGATGACGAAGAAAAAGGAGATGTCAATGTACTTTTCCAAGTGAGTTTATTATGTACTTTAGTTTTGCTTTTTTGAAATGTTGTAGAGAAAGGTATAAAACTTTATACATCCATAATTATTAGTTTGTTCTTGCATGAAACATCTTAATCCTAAAGATTTGAATGTCGAATTTTGGATAGTGCATGTCGAGTCGAATTATGACTTGCTTACTTCGTTATCTATTTTGTAGTTACCCTTAGTAATAGTAATTTTTAACCTCAGCATGCCTAGTTTACATTGCTCATTGCGTCCAATCCGGCTTTCTGATGGAATGGAATTTCCCAAATTTTTACTGGTTTCTAATTCTTCCTAGAAATATCTTTTCAGAAATTATATAAAGATGCAGATGATGACACAAGGAAAGCAATGGTGAAATCATATACAGAAAGTGGCGGGACAGTGCTAAGTACAAATTGGAAAGAAATAAGTAAAAAACGCACGGAAGTTCGGCCTCCTGATGGAATGGAATTTAAAAAATGGTGAAATGCCACCTAGATGAAATTGTATAGTTTTATATGATGTATTGTTGTTTACAGTGAGTTCAGCTATTGTCAGGAGAATAGGATTTGTAGTTCAAAATTTATAAACTGTATTATCACCTAGTGATTAGGATGTGATATACATTTTGCCAAAAAACGAGAACAATTGAAGATATAAGATTTCCTGAAAATTATTCGTAGATACTTTCCTGCAGTGGAAGAAAAACACATTTATGAGATATTTATAAGATTATTTAGGAAAGCTATATGAATTTGGGAAAGTGAAATTAATGAATGTTTTCCAAAATCAGTTATAGTGGTATTCGTCTAGAATGAATACCCTCACTCTCACCCCTACTATTCCTAGAATTTATATTTAACTATTCCTCACAATTGAAATAACCTACCTTCCCAAGGGAGGAAAATGAAATGCACATGAAAATTGTATCTTTGTCAAAACCAAAGTGATCATAAATGGTCTTGTCATTTGTATTGCAGTTATGTTGTGAAGAAAAGCAATTTCTTTTTTTTTTTTTGTTTTCAAATAAATATGGCAGATGCAAAGAAATAGTTTGCTTGATTTTCACATTTCCAATATGCATGCTATCGGATATCACACATATGGATGATATATGACAACAGAGCATTCTTTCGAAGTAGAACAAACATAATAGAGCATAGTGTGATTTATGCTTTCTAGTCTGTAGGTCTTTTTTTTCTTTTACTGATAAGTAGATTCGAACATTTGAGTGATTCTCGGATTAAAACATTTCATAAGTAAAAGTACCATGATTAATCAGCCTTAAACTAGAAACAGATAAAATATGAATATATCCCATGGAAGGTGTCTATGTGAAAGAAAGTTCCTACGCCGGAATTTCAATAATGTCGTAAAGAGTAAACTGATATATCCAGAAGATATTTTTAAAATTAATAAAGTATCTTTGCATTCCAAAATTTCAACAAATATACTATGCAATTCTTGATAAAACCATAAGTATGATGATTAACACTCCGAAAATATTTTACCACTACTGCATTACTATATCATTATCATATTTAAATTTGCTGATTAAAAGTTTAATTTACGGTACGTCAAAGTCTTCATCATCGGGTGCTTTCCGTTTTAACAAATTGGTGATTGCTTCCGGTCGAGTTTGTCGGATTGTTTCTGCTGGTCGTACAGTTGGCTCTTCCTTCCGGATCATCTGTTCATTGATTTCACGTAGCTGTTCATTACTCTAAAACATATTAACTGAATAACGAAACAAAAACTGAATGAGAAATTAAAACTTTTGTTAGTCAGCTTTGGCAATTTTAAAAAGTTTTGATTCAGTGACAACAGATTTGAAATTTTATGATATTCAGATAATTAATGAAAAACTATTACCTTCCATCCCACATTCGGCTGTATCAAACAAAACCGGTCATTTGGTAGACGTAATCCGTAATTTTGTCGAATTGCAGGGAGTGGCACAGCATTCTTTTGTTCCGCAAATTCGACCAGTAACTGCCTACTAGGTCGCTCACTTTTCCAAAAGCCTAAAGAAAATGAAATGAAATCAAATATCAGTGAATAATGCAGTAGTAATGGTACATAAGTATGCACAAGAAACATTTTCCGACAGGAAAAAAATAAATGCAACATTCAAAAATGATAATTATGAGTGTAACTTCATAACAGAAAATATCATTAAAAAAGTGAAAAAATTAAAAAAAATTGAAATTGAAATTAAAAAAGAAAAAATTTAAAAGTTGATCACCAAAAAATAATTAGCAAAGAAGAGGATTAAAAGATAGACCTGCGTTATCAATAGCAAACTGGACATCACTTTCATCAATCTGCTTCTTCCCTGCATGCTCACTGATTGATCGAGCATCTTCCAGAATTTCTGCCGTATATCTGAAAACGATTATCATTATTATTATCATCATCACTACCAAATAATAGTACTTCTCAATATTACGAAAAACTTATATCAGCCATTCTTGCAATCTATTTAATACATTAATGTGACTATAAATATTTCACTTTATGCTTCAATTTAAATTTCCAAAAATAACATAACCTATAGGCAAATTCGAGCATCTGCGAAATTACACGTGGCTCATAATCGGTAATTCCCATTTCCTTTAGAATAGCCTCCATAACTTGAGCATCATGCGGTATGCTACCCATTTAAATCAATCCCTACCGCTGATCTTGTCAATTCAGAATCAGTTGTATCTCGGTTAGACTGGAAATTCAGATGTTAATTTTCAAACAAAAAATTGTCTTCAAATGAAGCAAAAAAAAAGATAAATTCTCTCTAGCAATTCTCATCACTAGTAATTTTAGTTTGGTATCGAAAAATTAAATCATAGAACTATTTCCTCTAAAAATTAATAAATATTGCATTTCCGAGGAGTATTAACAGTTAATAAAAATAAAAAGATTCTCTAAAATTATATTTGATAGTAGTATTTCTCTTAGAGTTACATTAAACCAGTGGAAAGGAAAGATAACACTAGCATAACTCATATTTACTCGAAAAGAAGTACACAAATACGAATACAATTTATGAATAATAAAATTTAATATTTAAATTTGCTGCTCCATACAAACGCTATATTAAAATTCAATCAAGATGATACTGCAATTTATTTGTTTAAAAGCTGATAAATTAATAAAACACGAATACCGAATCTCCAAGAGAAAAAAAAGAAGTCGATTCTACAAAGATTCTATTCCTTTCTTAAATTCAAAAACAATTTATGAAAATTTTTTATGCAGTAAGATTTCATGAATATAAATAAATTACAGAATACAATCACAATGATTATCATCTGCAACATCTACTATAATGGCATATGTAAAAGTCAAATATGTGTTTCTATAAGGTTATTGCTCTTTAGGCATGCATAATGGCTCGTACAAAATCGGAAATGTTTACATTGCCGTGTGAATCGTCATGGCCAGCCAGAAGTTGATCAACCTAAAGAAGAAAAATATAAGAATTTATAGCATTTATATTATGAAGTGACAAAATTTGAACTTAAAAATATATTTAGAATCATATAAATTATATCGGCTCGTTTTTTTTTTTCTTGAAATTATTAGAAAGCTTTCTTATTTATAATTACCTCTTATAAATGTGTTAAATCTTTTCAGAACCATTCACTAATTTTATTGACAATTTCTTTTTCATGAATTGGAAAAAAGATTTCAAATCGTGGAAAATTTGAATTTTTAACTTACTTCTTCATCTGACAAACGTTCGCCGAGAGTTGTTAGAAGATGTCGCAATTCAGCAATATTGATTAAGCCATTTCCCTATATCGACAAATTCCATATAGTTAAAAAATGACTTCCACATAGTTGCAAAACAAAAGTAACACAAAATGAAATCAACTACCTCTTTATCAAAATGAGACAATCCTTCCACGAATTCTTCTAGAGTATGGTTTTCGCGACATTTATTCACTGACTGATAAATGGGGACAAAATCTTCGAATGTAATACGAGTTTCTGGAAAAATCTTTTAACTGCTTCGATTAAAGATCATAAAATCTAAATTCATATAATATTTATGCTGTAATTGGAGAAGTTCGCCGAATCGTACTTTAGCGTTACAATTTTCAAAGAAAATCGACAAACATATGATAAAAGATGGTTAATATCAATGAGGCTTCTAATAAATTTGTATTATATTGTAATAATAATAAGATTTCATCGTTTCTTTTCTTTTTCTCGAAAAAAAATAAAACAAAATTCGCAAAAATTAAGTAAGCAAATTAAAAAAACAAATTTTTAGCAACTATACCAGGATCAGTCCAATGTGAACAACATTTCTGGATCTCAGCTTCTGTTGGATTTTGTCCAAGTGCACGAAGAACATCACCAACTTGTGTTACTCCTATCCGTTCATCTCCCTGAATATATGAACCTAATTAGAGATATTGTTTAGAAAAAAAAAAGCAATTTAATTATAGATATTAACCAACAATCTTCTAAATTGCATACCTTTGAATCGAAGTAACAAAATACTTCACGACATTCCGATAACTGTTCATCGGCAGATGTCATTGTTATTTGCATAGATTACGATCTCAGTTGGTTCTAAAATTTCACTGTATATTCAGAGATATAACTAGGTATAAGATAGTTAAAAATAAAAATATCAAATTCTAAGAATTTCGAAAAAAAAAATTACAATCTGTTTTTTTCCAGAACATCTCATGAAGAAAAAAAAAGTCCCTCAGTAAAGTTTAGTCTAATCAAGCTTAGTTTAATCCCAGTAAAGTTCACTTATACATATGTTGAAATTATGGTTTATAACTTAACCTTCTGGAAAAAAAAATAACAATGCAAAAGACCTTATCAGAAACTATGATCAATTTCAAAATATCACGAAGTAAGCAATAGTAAATGACATAATTAATACTTGTTCTACAGTGTTAAAGTTAAATATTAAGATTAACACGATTCATCATTCTTTAGTGCCCGATGAATCATTTTAATCTTTCGTATCTCACAACCATCGATTAGCTGTGTACTTATGATAGGTCAACCTTGACCTAATTTTACTCTTCTTATCCTTCATATTATAACAAAGATATTTTAAAACAGATATGTTTTAACATTATGCTTTGACTCATACGAATTAAAATCATAAACTTTTAATTAAACAAGTATTTCAGCATGAAAATTTATTTTACATCATTTAACAAAGAAGGTAAGGAAACAAAAAACACAACTCAAAATTGTTCTGAATGACTGAAATCTGTCCTAAATAACTGCTAGTGACTGAATAAGATGGATTACAAAAAGCTAAACTAAGAACAGATAGCTTAAAATGAACGCTTTGATAAATGAAAGACTAAATATTTCCATCATTTAAATAGCAGCAAAAAAAAAAGAATAAAAAGTAAGAGATCAATGATACATAATTTACATATAAATGATTTATGCCATTCCACTCACAATATAAACCAATGAGGCTTCATTTTGTTCCACTGAAAATACTGCCATCTTTTCCGGGACAATCTCTGAAGCAATTGAGTAAATTAATTTTACTGTTACATTGTGAATGATTGAATGATAAATGATCACTTTTATACTGAGTATTACTATAGATTATTAGTATTACATTGAAACCATTTTTCAGTTTAATCGTTTTTTTTTTTTTTATCTTCAAAAATTTTATCAATTTTGGTAACTTATAGGTATTGCTTTTGTTTTTGTTCATTCCTCTCATTCATTCCATTCAAATCTTAGCTAAATTTAACATTCATATTAGTTATTTTTCACTTATTTTATATCGTTATATCAGAAAAGAAATGGAATTTACTGAGCAATATTCGTGACATTGTGAAAACATTGGTAAAACTGCGAAGAAAATGATAAATTGCTTTGATATCAACGCGTACTGTTCGCAATACACCTGGGCCATCTGCATTATTTACTGAAATATATGAATTTATTCTTTCATTTTTCTTATAGCAGTAGGTGACAAGAAATTCTTTTCATGTTAGAAGTTAGGACTAAGTTTATTACAATGACAACATAAAAGATTAAAATTAAGTTAAATTACGGTTCAAACTACAGAAGTGCTCGATAATTTAGCAAACGAAGTGGATTGATTGTGTTTCGTGATAATCTGAGACCATTGTAAATTAATTAAGACCATGCTTACAATAAAATTTCATTCAAAATGTGCAAAACGTTATATCAACAGTAATTTTTATCAAACCAAATTCCTAGATCAAAAAATTTTTTTTCCTATTTTTTTTAATATATCATTACCACCGAATCATCACCAACGCTTTCTAAAATTTTGTATTGCCCGCGCAGTACTCCTAGTGATAATCTAAAGCAAAATTATAACTTCAATACTAATCGAGCACATATTATAAAATGAGAAAATGATAAACATTACCATGACTGTTGTGCAACGAAACAACGGAAAGATTCGAGAAATGTACGACAATGTTTGCCATATCTAAGTCACCGCAAAACTGAAGTTCACCTTCTTGATTTCCTTTAATTTCCTTAAAAAAAATAAGATTCTTACTTCTACACTAATTTTATCCTCAGCTTTCGAACATTATTTTAAGCCACTATGATAGAACTGATCTCACTTGCGTAAGAAATAAAAACTTACCATATATTTTACTCCCATATTCTTGAATGAAATCACTAAGCTACGTATTGTTGACAGTGGCGGAAGATAAAGGGCAACCTAAAATTGTTTCAATAAGTAATAGCAAGAAATTGGGAAAATTAAATTTCTGAAATATCAAATTAAAAAAAGAAGAAATAGAAGAAAACATACTAAGTACAAGAAAATATACTAGAGCATTTTTTTTTTCTTTTTTGATAGCCCTTCAAATTAAAATACCCACTACAAAACAATGATGATGCTGCACTATATTGAATCTTTCACGCAGTAAACACGTAAACAATAAACACACGCAGTAAACAATAATTTTATCATATTTATTTAAAAAAATCATTCAAAATTACCACTTATTAGTATCCCGTTACTTATTACACCACATCACTTGACTAAACTCCCTACCTACCGGATGTAACTACCTGCAACTTTTCCGGACCAATCATGCTAATCGTTACCGACAAAACAACTTATTTTAAGTAATATCGACCCGAAAGTTAACATTTATGAGTACCTAAAAATATTACATATTTTTTAAGCAAAAATTAATGCTACCGAAATATTATCTAAAGTAGGCATGTCGTAAGTTTTCCAATATTTGGTTGAAATCAATATTACAGGTAATTCATGAACCATCCCACATGACTTCTGCTCTACTTTTAAATGGGGTACATTGCCAAGCTTGACCAAACGAATTTTTGTCGACCGGTCCTTCACATTCATACTTCTGAACAAGTAATCTTTTTCCACTTCCATATAGATCTCGTTGAATTCTTCTGACACACCACCCATTATGTACGTTGAGAAAAATTCAGCCTAAATTACATAATTATGAAGAAATTCCGGCCATTTTTTTTTCTTTTGGTTGAGAAAAGATTTAAAGATTTATATGCTGTCGTCCATTAGTCTATAGTAAAAAATAAATTTCAACTTTTTGAATGATCATTCATCTTTTATACTTTTTTTAGAAGGGAGAAAGGAATATAAATTACAAGCTAAAAATAACTCATATTATGAAACTGGCAGAAATTTTTCGAAAACGACGAAAAAAAAATTGATAAATGAATTATCTTATAAAGGCTTACCACATTAAGTGTAATTTGCAAATAATTCCCATTATTAGCTAATGAAGAAGGATTAAGCAAATATATGGCATCGGATGTAATCCGTAATGTTACCTTATCTTTACATAACTTTGCAACAAATTCGGTGATTTCTGTAAAGAAAAAGAAAAAATCACATTATTTTAAGATAATGGAAGTTATAATTCTAGGAAATATTTATCAAAAGTAAATTTCGTTTCAACAAACCGATAACTATTAGTTGAACCTTTTCAATTATATTGCAAATAAAAATAGCAGCACTAAGGGTTTAGCTAACTAATAAAACTAAGAAATATAAAGAAAATAAATAAATAACATAATGACTAAGCTTACTTGACAATGTATCCGCTGCACCACTCTCTGCTAGAACAGCAAGAAATTTCATATCTAGAATTTAGCAATTTTAATAATAACAGCTGATAAACATCTGGAAAAACTATTAGGACCAAATTTGGCCATCAAATTTGATCTTCAACATGCAGGGAAAAAGAGGCGAAAAATTGAAAGATCCAGATAGTCGCTGCAATTGAAAGCATACGAGTGACACGTGACAATGCTACACAAAATATAACAAACAGCTTACTGCTAAAATTTATTTAAAATTTATTCATAAATCACAAAACATCACAGTGCTATTTTAAATTTCCATCAATCCGCCTTCCTGCAAAAAAAAGAAAGATCTTAATAAGAAAATCGAAAAATTTAAGAAAAAAATGATCGAACAAAACGAAAGCAACATGTAATAGGTAAAGAACAGATTATATGTTGAATTAATATACCGTTATTTTGAATTGTACCGAACCATTCATGGCAGATGGCGATTTTACCAGAAAAATTGAGCTACTTCGAGAATTAACATTGGGTGGATATAACCAAAAACATGTATTTGGACGATGAGACCTAAAAAATATGATCCTCAACTATGCAAAATTCTTAAATATTATAAATGTTTTCAAAATTATAAATCGCATCTATTCATCTATATATAATGGATGTTGTTTAGAACTAATAAAAAAGAGAAAAAAACGAAAACATTGCCATGAAGTTCCCAACGCAGATGCAAGATGCGCTTCACCATCTTTCTCATTTTCGAAACGATAAGTAACATGGTTTACGGCAACAACCGGAAATAAAAATTATAAGAGTGGAACAGCTTTAAATTTTTCGGTAATATTTAATCAATTTCCTGTCAAAAATGCAAAAGAACAGTAAGCATCGTCCAATAGAAGAATGAACTTCTATTTAACATTTGAAAATTTACGATTAATCTATAGGATGCAGCCAATTTTGAAAGAATTCGTGAAATTTCTAGTCTCGATCGTAAGGCATAGCCATTCTCACCACGCAGCGGCATCGCAACACTATCCACAATTAGAAGACCAATCTAAAATTTAATTTCAAGTTACTTACTGCGTTGAAAAAAGCTTTCTTGATCATTAATTTCCTCCTATCTTTTGAAAAGACAAGCCAAATCGTGAATCATAAGACGTGAGATGAATCAAGCATTATCGGTACCACAACCAAATGAATCACCAAAACAAATTATAATAGTTCTTTTTTATTCCTAACATTCTTCTCTGTTCCACGAAGGATATAAATTAGAATTTCGAATTTCAATATAACAATAAAAAATCTTCAAATTCAGTAATTCAAAGCTATGCTACGTCTAGAAAATCTTATTATAAATAAAAATAAACTACATACGAAACCTTTAGATTTTGTTGTAGAAGAGAAAAAAATCAAAATGATATTGCAACTTCGAACACCTTTCTTATAAAAGATGAAATAGAGAAACGAATGAGAAAAAATAACAAACCTTTGGATTTTGTTGTACCAACAATTCTAACCGATGAATAGCACTTGTTAATTCAACCAAATCACGACAGCGGCTAACTTGTATATGTTTCAATGATTCTAATGGTTCCATTGTTTTTAATACATTGGTTGCAATATCACAGATACGTTTTGTATGGAATCCTCCTTCTGTATCCACATACACACTATCTTTTTTTGTTTTATTTTTTTGCAGACTAACTGCTAACTGCATACTAAATAAAATGTATTAAAATTTACATGGAAATTTTCGAAATAATTTCGGCAAATTTTTCGTTTGGAATAATTTTCCAAATCGCAAAATCAAACTATTTCAAAATTCTCAATCTAATTTTTTTTTTTGAATAAGATAAAACAAACAGTACCAGAATTGAGATTTTCCAGTAGCTGACAAGCCAACAATCTCTAAAAATGTGCCTGGTGATATGCCACCGCCTAGCAATGCATCTAAAGATTGTAAACCAGTTTCAAGCAATTCATCAGCTTGTTCAAGTTTGTATAAATCGTATGCATTAATTAATTCCATCCCATTACAACATTATACAAATAATCTGAAAAAAAAAAGAAAAAGAATGAAGTTGATTGAAATTTCAAATAATAAATATAGAAGAAAAGTGATAAGTATGTAACGCTACAACGATAAATTATGAAAACTTAGTAAATTATGAGTAAAGATAAATTATTAATTAACTAAATAATATATATGTGAAACTGTAATAAACAATTATTCATATAAATAAGTAAGCATAACAATAAGTAATAGATAAAGTGGCATACAAATGTTTGAATTATCAAATTTAGACAAAAGCATAAAAGAGTGATGAATCTTTGAGCAAAACAGCATCACAACAGAACGCAAAATTAAGATTGTCAAAAAAAAAATATCTTAAAATACAAACATCAAATTTTCAGAAACAAAAATTTCTAATTTACTCATCAAATAAATGCAAAATAACACTATCAAAGTGAAAGATTAACGATTGATAAGAACTCAAAGAAGCTTTAGCACTTCATTACAAAGCAAACTGAACTTGAAATGAAATTTGTTAAAAAATTAGCAGTAGTAAAATTTACTAATGATACAATATAATATTTAACTTCAGTTATGATAAATTAAACGAATGATAAGATTAACAAATAAGAGTGTCAGATAGGTTATCAAAAAAAAAAGATTAGTTATCAAATTGCACATTATCCTAATTTTAATGATTAAAAATTAAGCAATCTACTGAATTTATAAATTATTCCATTTCAATTTTTTAAACATAAAATATCTCCGAACAAACTTAAATGTATGTCAAAAAATTACCAAAAAGGTTTAGTAGGCTTTAATTCAGATTGCGACGGAGTTCGGAGTTTTATTTATTTTATATCATTGGATTGAGAAGGTAAGGACCGCTGTTATATGTTTTTAATTCCTAAATACAAACCTGAATATTCAATTCTAGGAATCCTGGAAATTAATTAATGGTACTCAATGTAATTCTAGTGCAATAAGTGTAGTATTCTCAAGAGGTATCATAAATTTATATGAAATTTGTCCGAAATTTTATTTGAAAATAATCATTGCTATATTTTAAGTCTCAATTAGTTCTTTTTTTTTTTGGTTAATTATCATTTGTATTACATTTTGTTTTTTGGTTAATTATCACTTTTATTCTTGGTTATTTATATTTAATCTTTGTTAATTATTTACATTAGAATTTAACGAACATTTGAAATTCTTACTTTCTTGAAAAGTAAACTTAATAACTTTATAACCTTCAAAGTTTTCGAGGAAATGCTTTTGAGTATTTACTATAGCATAATATCATTTCAATTCGTGTATATTTTCTTTTTTTTGAGATTATTATTTAGTTTGTATTTTGTGTCGTTTGTATTATTTATTTTGTTTTTACCTAAACATACTTCATAAATTTTTTCTATTGTTGTAAGTGATTTATACAATGTATTTTCTAACCTGTGTTTACTTATAGTAAGAGACAAAATTATATTAGTAGCACTTATTCTCAGTTGCCTTAATTTATTAATAAACAACTTATTGTTTATGCAATTTTAGCTACTCAAATTTCCACGTTTAATTTAGTGAGTAGATATTATTAAATCATTAATTATGCATTTCAACTATTACATTTATTTAGAAAAAAAATTTACCATTTAGTTTCTTATTCTCATTTGTTCAACATATATTTAGGTATCAATTGTTGTTTTAATTGTTGTTTTAAATTTCAAATTTCTTATTAGTTGTGAAAATTTATTTTGCAGAGATAATATGGGAAAAAAACGAATAATTGCATTAATTGATATGGATTGCTTTTATGTTCAGGTGGAACAACGTCTTCAACCTCATCTTTATGGTAAACCAGTCGCTGTTGTTCAACATAGCAGTGGTAATAATCGAGGCGGTGGGTAAGCATTTCCAAATAATTAGTCGAAAATTTTCATCTGAATATTTTGCAATCTTTCAGGTTTTTATTTAAAATTCATTTCAAGTTGCATTTCTAATTCCAACTTTAAAGTTTCATTTTTCACTTGTTTATTTATTTACTCAGTCGTAGTCTTTGATGAATCTTTTATTAAAAATTATTTTACGTTTATTTAAGTCTTTTTTTTTAATATTTCCGTTTTATTTTACAAGTCGTTTTATTGGCAATTTCAATTTTGTCTATTTTATAGCAAATGTTTTTACCATTCATTGCAGCTTACTTGCTATATCATATGAAGCAAGACCTTTTGGTATCAAACGTGGTATGTTTCCTGAGCAAGCCAAAACCTTATGTTCTGAATTGACACTTTGTTATGTGCCAGTTGGCGAACATGTTGATAAGGCAGATATCACACGTTACAGGTTAGTAGAACTTCTTGTAGCTATTCAAATATTTGCATCTTTTATAAATTGCAAAGTCATAATGTTAATTTTACAAAAGCTAATCGTTACGCAAATATGTAAAAATTTTGCATTTGCAAGTTTGAAATTATTTAGCTTTTGTAATGAAGTTACCACTGCTCTGAAATGCTTGCATTGTAGGCCATTTTGGTTTTTTTTTCTTAATTGTTTCAAAATCAAATAAAAAAAAACATTATAGCAAAGATATAGCTTGAATAAGCTAGAGTTTCATTTAGGGATGCATCTGCGGAAGTATTTAAAGTTTTACATGAATTTAATTCACGAATTATTGTTGAACGGGCATCGGTTGATGAAGCTTATTTGGATCTTACTGCTTTAGTAGAGCATATCTACGAAACCACCGATCCTTCGATTAAGGTATTTCTATTTTATTTTAATTCGATAGCTATATATCTTTTTCTACATTTGTTATTTATTATCCGAATCAATTTAGAGTAACGCTTATTATATATTTCATTCGTTATATATCTTCTACTTTTTTTCTGGTGATTTATTTAAATATTTGTGTCTATTGTTGCAACTAGAGAAAAGCATTGATGTCTTTCGGGTTGAGCATTATTGATCAAAGGCAATAGAGATAGCGGATAACGAAATAAAATTCCTTTTTGTATCCACAGTGGATGAATAAAAGATAAAGAAAAGAATTTATTTCTCCTTCCAGTAAGTTTTTTATTTATTTTTGCTAAAACATTCATTTTATAGTATGGGAAATTTGATGCAATGGATTTATTTCCTACAACACATGTTGCTAACGGAACAGATGTGAATGAAGACAAAATTCCGGATTGGAAATATGATAGGATTGGATCTTTGCATTCTTTTATATCAGAAACATGCGAAACAAAGGATGAATACAAGGCATTGTCGTATTTTATTTACTATAGGCTAAAGAAATATTGGATTTTGAGTTTCTTTATTTGAAAGCTATTACTGGTATTCATTGAGATACTTGAGAAATTTTCTATTTGACAATGCTTAAATTTCGCATTTTGATGAATAATTATTTTTAAACAAGTTTATTTCCTATTATTATTACCGAAAACCAAATGAGAGATAAGAAGATATAACTGAAGAATTATTGGCAGATATAATTTGGACATGCTGTCATTAAGCTGTCTCGATGATCACAAATCTAGTTGTCATGTAACTGAAAATCTATTAAATTATGTAATTTTTAGTTGAAATTGATTATTGGAGCTGATTTGGTTGAACAAATAAGAAGGAATATAAAGAAAAGCACTGCGTTCAATTGTTCTGCCGGAATTGGTAGTAGCAAGGTTTGTTTCGAAGATTTTTAGTCATGTTTTCATAAAGATATAATAAAATATAGATAAGTTCGAAATTTCCTTTTCGTACTGATTTCAAATCAAAATTAAAAATTAACTAACAGCATTCTTATGGCAAAATTTTATCTTATTTTTTATTTTTTGTTAGACTTCTTGGTTATTACCATGGATAACTCATTATTTCATTTAGTTTTAACGAGTTCAGAAGATTGTTAGCCTCTTAGAATATATTCCAGTGGCATACTCAAAATTGTCATATTTCAGATGATTGCTAAATTAGTTTGTTCACGACACAAGCCTGGTCAGCAGACTGTTGTATTCAATGAAGCTATACCTAAAGTTTTCGAATACACTCCTATAAATGAAGTGCGAAATCTTGGTGGCAAATTAGGAAGAGCATTAATGGAAAAATTCAATATTAAAGTATATATTGCTGTTCATGGACTGAATTACCAAAACAGATTAAGTAGCTTATGTATATTTTGGAAAATTCATAGTGTTTCTTTTTCAAAAACTACAGACAATGGGTGAATTATCAGAAATATCGATGTCACATCTCAGCGAATATTTTCCAGCTCAAGCAAAGTGGATATACAATATTGCACACGGTAAGGTATTTCAACTTTTCTTTTTAAAATATATGCTGACTTATTTGTAGTTCCAAATACAGTCCTACTATGTGGAAGCTAGATTTTATGCATCATCTAAGAATATGACGTCCGTAAAGACATGACGTAGGAATGTATTGAGATCGTTTGAAAGTTAAGTTTCCAAAGCTAGCGATTATAATCAGAAGTGAAATTTTATTGTCGGTCCCGAATTTCTGTTTTTATACTGACTGGAGTCTGTCCAGAAAAACGTATCCTAATATTTCAGGTATTGATGACGAAAAAGTTACTGCACGTGATAAGCAAAGCTCAGTTGCTGTAAGTAAAAATTTCCCCGGTGCTAATGCCCTAAAAACGGATGTTGATGTGAAATTTTGGTTGGAAGGTTTAGTCAAAGAATTGGTGAAACGCTTAATTGATGATCAAATAGCGGTATGAAACAATTTGATCATATATTATTGCTTAAACTCGTTTGAAAACGTTTAAAAACTACGATAATACTTCATTTCTGATTATTTTCCTTAACAGTGAGCAGTTTCGATCTCTTATTGTTATATATATCTATTAACTGTAGATACCCAAAAGATTCAGTCGATCAAAAAAATTACAAGCACATATTAGTTAGTTAGCTGATGAAGTTAGCGCAGTGCAAATTAATGAAAATTTTATCAAAGATTAAATTGAGCGGAAGGTTCAAGCAACATTACTAAGCTTTTTTGTTGAGTTTGATATCCTTTTAATTATTCATCATTTATCGAGCCATGTGCTGCATGCATTTAATAGTTTGATGCTTTCATAATTTTTAAGATTATGCATGTTTATAGTTTAGAAATTTCATTTGCACTTTCCAAATTATTAGTTGATTGATTTGGAGTTTCATAAGCTTCAATATAGAATATTCGAACCGCTTCAACACTCCATATTGGTTGCACAACTGACATACATCTTACTAGAAGTATGCAGATGAAGACATATGATCCGAAAGCTTTATTTACATCAGTTTGGGCAATTTTTCGACATATTAACAAGTCGGGCATACCGGAAACTTGGTAATTTCAATAAAAAATATTTCTTGTCCTTTTTTCTAGAAAACAATTTATTCGATTTTATTGAGCTAACATTCGAGTTATTATTTTGTTTAATATACTAATACTTTTGTTTATGCTCTGTGTTAGCTTTAGTTCTTTTGTAGCTATTCCATTCAGCTTTAACTTTTGCTTTCTGCTTGAAATAATTCAAAAATTCAAGATGAATTATTAGGGATCCATCGGTGAAGAATATTGCGCTTTCCGCAGATCGGTTTCGAGAAGGGATTGATGGTCGTTCGAAACAAATCACAGAGTGGGTAACGAAAGCAATAGATGTAGCGGAAAATTCAGTGCTAGATGCTTCCACCGGTGAAGATACTAAAAGTTTAGCCGTACCTATTGAAAACGTAGCGAAGACTTCAGTGCAAACTTCGGTAAATGCTTTGAATTTTATTATTTTAGAATTAAAGTAATTTCTGATTTATTTTGTAACCTGACTTTGTTTTCCAATTACTTGTAGTGATGCGTTGATCAGTGTTGAAGGAGATAACTCTAAAAAGCTCCTCAGTTTAATTTAGTACTTCGATCTTCAACTTCAGAAGCATATTAATTTTTTGTTATTTTCACAGTATTTTACTAAACTTCATCTTTCATTTGAACAGAAAGTTCTTTATTCTTGATATAAAAATGCTGTTCAACGAGTACAACATGAATCTGTTTGTGCAGTTTTGTATTCTAGCTAAAATATATAAAACTTTTGTTATAGGTGGATGTGCATCATTCACGAAGAGAGGTACAGAAAGAGAATGATGATGATGATGATGATGATGATATACAGATTATTTGTGATACAAAGAAAGAAAAAAAAGTTATCACTGCTGCTATCCATTCTAAAACAACGGCTAAAAAGCGAAAAAAAAGAAGAGTAATGAAAAAGTTGAGCCCACCGACAAGGAAAATATCAGATTTTTTCAAAAAACAATAAATTTTGTTAATTTAGTAATTACGCATATCCATAAATTGATAGTGAAAGAAAAATGTGATAGGAAAGCTGTTTTTGTCATATCTTACTTATTTATATAGTTCACTTATAGTTTTATCGGGTTAATATTTGTCTTTATAAATTTCATTTTTATTTTTTTAAAAATCCTCCAGAAAAAAAAAAAAACTTGCTGAATTGTATAGAATTGCATATTATTACATTGCCAATTTTTTTATACTGTTGTAGGATTAATTGTCAGCACCAAACTGTTACTTTGATTTACTTTACCTCTCAGGCATATTATATGTTTTGCTAATCCTATGCTTTCTTTTTACAATAAAAAATCGTTCAAATTGAAAATGTATTTGTTAACTTCTTTCCTTTTTCAATAATTTAAAAGAATGGCTTCCTTTTTTTTTCTTCAATAATTTAAGAGAAATTTAAAATTTCGAAAATTTTCAAGGATTCCTTAGTTCCAAAAAAAAAATAAAGATCCTCGAAATTGCGTGTACTGCTACTACTATTTAACATTATCTCACAAACAAGAAATGAAATCGTTTTTAAAATTTGATTTAAATTGATTGGGTGAACGATTCGATAAGTCCTGTGTTATCAGTCAAAAAGATCATTGCATTTTGTAAATAACAAATTTTCATCTCACTAACTTCAACAGAAATTTATGTTATGTGAATCGATACAGTAAAGAATTAAATATTTTCATTCAATCATAAAAACTTTTTAGGATGAAATATTGAAACAAATGAAAGGCTCATCCTTTCTTGAACTCTCTAAATTTATAAATATTTTAATTCTGTGTCCTAAAATCTTTCATTGAAATAAGTAAAATAAGTAAAGTAGAAAGCAAATATCCGTCAGAAGATTAAAAGAAAAAATTGTAAAAATTTGTGCACGGAGTGGGATTCGAACCCACGCATCGATCACGATACCAGAACACTCCAAATGTCACACACTGTTCTCGTGTGAAGCATACATATTGTTTGCTTGAGTCTGGCGCCTTAGACCACTCGGCCATCCGTGCTATAAGAATGCCATTCTGAATTAATTATATTTGTTATATTGAAAGTTTCTGAGCTATTTTTTTTTTTTTTTTTGCAAATGTAAAAAAAAAAAATTCTTTCAAATTTCAAAATAAAATTACAATTTTAAATCTTACAATTATTGTTACAGGAAAAATCTTCAAGAATTTAAATTAAAAAAATTTGGAGTTCATTAAAATTATATTTATCAATTTAATCGATTGATTAGCAAAATTTAAAAATTGAAGCATGCATATATGAAAATGTTAGATTTTTAAATATTAAAGTGTTCTTTCTTTTTTTTTTTTCATTAATTCAATAAACTCAACTGATTTATCACTTGAGTTTATTGAATAATTTTAAACTTAAAAGTAACTTTATTTTTCATGTATTATTGAAGCAAACAATGTGAATATTATCATTGCTATATTTGCATTTTATTGTTTTATATTTATTTAATCATAAAACTTTTGATAAGCATTACTCATAAAGAGAAATAAAATATCTCATCACAATTTTAATAATTATTTTTCCCCTACTCATTCTTTTCTTTATCATTTTATCATTAACATATCAATCAATTCATATTATCAAAAAATCTTAACATTTTATTCCAATTTAGTTTCTTTTTTTGATAAAATTGTTAAAATTTAGGTGAAAAGTAATTTGTGTGTAAATGGAATGGTTGCCAATTGCATTTTAATCGATCGAATGAATTAATTCGATCAATTATAAATTTATCGATGATCGATAATTTCATCCCAACTATTATTTTTTTTTTCTTCTTACATTTTCATGCTCCAATCACTTATCATTACACTTCAAATGTCATGAAATGTGAGAAAAATATTAATTTAAACTTTAGAAGTAATTTACAAAAAAAGAAACTCTACAAAAATCTTTATTTTATTATTTTTTTAACAATTTTTCTTCTTCAAAATTAAACTAAAGAAGAAAAGTTATATTATAATTCTCTCTATCTAAATAGTTTGTTTGTTACTTTTTTTTTCCTTTTTTCATATCAACTTTTTTAAATAAAACAAGAAAAATATTACATATATAATATAAGGTTATTATGTTATTTTAAAATTTGTGTTTACTTGATGGATTTTTTAAAGTGTCATTTTTTTTTTTTGTTTTTGTTTACTAAACACTGCTCGCCCTTATATATTATCGCCTGTATTTCATCCTGTTTAAGTTTATTATCACCTTTAATTCTTTTTTTTGACCTTTAATTACTTATTCTGTCTTAATTACTTATACTATACCATCATCATAATAAAGATAATCAAATTGATTAATATCAAAAATTATAAAAAATAACAAAGAAAAAAAAAATTCATTCATAGAATTGTTTTCGATATTTTTTTGTTAATTTAGTAAGTTACAAAAACATTAATCACACTTATGTAATTACGCCTTCTATTTATTTGGCGAACCGTTTCTCAGTTTTTACATCCGGTTGACATAGACTGATTCCTTTCATTAGTTAGTTATTGTCATATAATTGTTGTGCAATTCTTAAACAGAATGAAATTTCAAAAGAGGAAGAAATCAGTGAAAAAATAACCTCCATTGATGATCCAATAATACTTGCTGGATAGCCAATAACATCAATAAATACGACAGGTACGGATAAAATTCCAATTGATTTTCCTAATCGAATTAAAAATTCCTTTATCACATAAGTGGTATACGAGAATGACTTAGTTTTGTTAACTTCAGTTCGTTTATATTGGATCGCACGACGGATATAACTATGCAACGAAGAAAATTTCATTTGCTTTCAAAATAACCTGAAATTACTTTTAATTTTGCACAATGTAACAATATAATGCCTTTACAATTACTTAATCAACAAATTACTTAAATTATCAATTATGGCCTGAAATAAATGATCAATCAATTGAACTCCTTATAATGTATATGATTTATCCGTGATTGTAAACAAGTAATTAATTATTTTAATGGACAATTACTGAGATAAATCAATTTCAGATCTCATCATAACTTATTTTTCACTAATTTCCTCTACATTCCTCGTTTAATACTTTTAAATATTACTGCAGCATGCTCAGTAATAAGCAAACAGCAAGAAGGAAAAAGGACAACAATTTAAAGTTAATTAATTAAAGAATTTACATATATTTGATTTAATTTGCCCGTAAATACATTCCAAAACGTTAAATATTTGATTAATTAATTAATTTTTTTGGCAATAATTTTACTATTTGAAGTATAAAAAAATTATAATTTGAATAAAATTTATTACATTTTGAAAATAAAACGTAAATTTGTTGATTTATTCAAATCTTCCATTTCATTACAATAATAATTGTCACCTGAAGGTGACACTATCCTTTCCATTCCCTCATTAACTATCTTTTTGTCTATGACGCTCTCGCTTTATACCACCCTCTTTTCTTAATACAGATCTCTCCCTACATGTTTGCAATTATATATCCCTCATACCTATTTCTGTTTCTCTATCCATTCGCGTTCCTTTCTATGTGATCTCTATCCTCACATCCACTTCTATAACTTTGCCCGTTCGCATCCATTAATATGTGTTCTCTTTGTATATATCACTAACTCTACATCTATTATATATGTTTCCGCCTGTTCTCGTTAATTTGTATGTATCTTTAACTCTCCATCTACTATATATGCCTCTGTCTGCTCTCGTTTATTTGTATGCATCTTTATTGTAACATTAGTATGTTTACCCTCTATGTTTGCATCTATTTATACTTATGTTTATCTTCACAATCATACATATACACCCTATGTTTACACTTTCTCTACATCTCTCTGTGTATCCTAGCTTTGCACTATATTTCTTCATCTGTCCATCTATAGATTGATAATCTTTTCTGGTGACACTTGTTGACACTATTTTGTCATCATTTCATTTCATTCATTAGATGCATTTTCAGTTGTTTCTTACGCATGAAATGATCAAATTCCCTGTGAAATATTCCGTAAAATAGATTAGCAAATTTAAATTGATTGAAGCTTAAATTTCAGTTTAATTTTCTTTTTTTTTTTCGCTAATAGTATGTTTTTTTTTCTCTAAAAATATATGTATGTATGTATATTTTAATTAAATTGATTAAAATGAAATTAAAAGGTTTATCATAAAAGAAAGCACTGTGAAAATTTTGAATCGAATAAAAAGTAAATTTATTTAAATTAACTTGAATTTAATATTTTAAACAGCAAATAGTTTAATGTGTAAAAGAAACGAAAATTACATGGTTTCAAGGTTTTGTTATAAAAATATTGAACAATCTTTTGCAATCAATTATCCAATAAAATTCAATTTTTTTAATTAAATTTTTTTTTTCAATTCTATTATAGATTACCTAATTCTCTTACCAATTGTTGTGGTATTATCAGTCGATTCCGTAATATTTTTTTTTCCCCCTTTTCCTCTTATTTTTTCAATTTTATTTTCTTTTTGTATGATTTAGTTTCAATTTTCACCTTAACTAATCAGATAGTTTTATCTTTTTAAAAATCTTAAAAAATGGGATGAAAATTTTGCATTTGTTTGTTTTTTTCTCTGCCTCTCTCATTTTTGAGAATGGCAAATTTATTTACTAATTTTCTTCACATTTGTTTTCTTCCAGTTTTATTCTATCTTTTTTTTTTTTTTTTTTGTTTGACTAATTTCTCTTTCGCACTTTTGAGAAAGAAAAGAAATAAAAAAAAAAAAACGAAAAAGCAACAAACTCCCAACCAAAAAATAAAATAAAATAAAATAAAGTGCAAATATTCATTGTAACAATGCTGTTTGTCTGTTTCGATTGAATTAAATTTGATTTAAATTTGCAATTTTTCTTCAATGAAATGTCATTATTTGAAAAAAGAAAAAGAAAATGTATTATTTCAATTTTTATTTTCAGAATTTTGAAAGATAGAGTTAGTAAATTTCGAACAAATTTGTTCATTCACATATTTTTGTTAATTCAATTCAGTGATGAGTCATCGTCCTTACATTTAAAATTCTCTCAGTTATTTAGTGCAGAACAACAACAACAACAGCTCGTCATCATCATTTTCTGTTCTCTTTCTAACAAATCAATAATAATAGAATTAATTTTTGATGGAATAATTCAAAGTTTTATTATTTTAATTTTAAAGCATTGATGAAAAACATTTCATTTCTATATTTTACCTAATAATAATGCAAGAATAATAATTATTGTTTTTGAATTTCAATTTATTTTATTTTATGTTACTTTACACTTAACTGATGATAACTCATAAAAAAGATAATTAATCAAAGTATCATTTAGTAGAATCTATTACATTTATCTTTTAATTATGATAGGATAATTAATTCTGATAACATTAACACTATGTATTTTCATATTCTACTATCAACTAAATTATATTATTGATTATTGATCAGTAAAAGGAGAAAAAAAAAGAAATGAAAGTTTACAATTGCAAAATATATTATTAATTTCAGAATATAAAGTAAATGTGTCATTAATTTTAAGACAAAAGAGATATATTACTAATTTCAGGATATCGTAAACTATCAATGAAATAAAAGTACCATTAGTACCATTAATTTTTTGTTGTTAGAATAGAATGCTGATATTAGCATGCCACGTTTTTATACATTTTTATATTCTTGGAAGAAATTTTATTAATAAATGGGAAAATTTATTCTTCATTATATCATAAATTTATAAAATGCTTCTTTCTATGTTTTCCAAAATTATTTCTTAGCCATTTCAGTTTTTTTTTTTCCTTTTTTTTGGTTCCAAAATTTAAATTTGATGAAAAGCGAATAATTTTTTAGCATTAATATTGATTTTTATAAAAAAAATTTACATATAGTAAAATTTCACGTCAACTTCTTTTCGTCATTTTTTCATGTAATTTTATGTATTGTCGAATTCACTTCGAAATGTTATAGGTTGTTAATTTTTAAAGTGAAATAAGTTTAAATAAAAAATAATTATTAATTCTAAGAATATATAAGATATTTTTTTCTTTTTCTCAACTTTTTAACAATAATCTTAATGATAACGAATAACGAAAGCAATTTCAGGATAAGTAAGTAAATAAGGAAGGTAATTCTAGTTAGTTAGGTAGATATATGGAAATGATTAAGCAATTTCAGGATAAGTAAGTAAATAAGAAAGGTAATTCTGGGTAGTTAGGTAAATATATGGGAATGATTAAGCAATTTCAGGATAAGTAAGTAAATAAGGGAGGTAATTTTAGTTAGTTAGGTAGATATATGGAAATGATTAAGAAATTTCAGGATAAGTAAGTGAATAAGGAAGGTAATTCTAGGTAGTTAGGTAAATATATGGAAATGATTAAGCAATTTCAGGATAAGTAAGTAAATAAGGAAGGTAATTCTGGGTAGTTAGGTAAATATATGGGGAATGATTAAGCAATTTCAGGATGGATAAACTATCATAATATTTGTATTTTTTCAGTTTCTTTTTCTTGTCATTCAGTCATATATCGATTGATGATTGTTGCAGTAAACGAGAGCACTTTCTTTTCCTCTAAACATTTATTATTTCTAATCTATTATAGTTTATCATTTATTGCTGTACAATATTTTAACCTAATTTGTTTTAAGTTAAAATTATTGGTGTAATTAGGTGGGAATAAATTAATTGAAATAAACAAATTGTTGATTTACAAAGATTTATTCAATATTTTAATGTATCAACAAATATTACACAAAGTTTGTTTTTTTTTTTTTTTTTCAAACCAAAAATTATTACTTTTGCGTAAATATTTGCATTTATTTGAATAGTTATTCTCATATAAAAGTGCCATTTATTTTGTAGGTTATACGTGAGGTCAAACGATCAATATATTACGTAAAGTTATGGAAGATGATAAAGAAGAAGAATGTGTTGCTGTAAGTTTATTTATTTAATTGTGCTATTTTAAAATTTTGAAAGTGAAAAATGTTTTGATTAATGTTTGGGAATATTTTGCAAGTTGTTTTTTTCTTGTTTTTGTTTTTAAATATAACTTAAAGTGATCAATGTTATTGTTAGGAAATTGTTGCATAAAATGTCATTTCAGGTTAGATTACATGACGATGAATTTAGTGGTTTAATAGGAAATATCGCAGGTGGTATTCTTCGTGATAGAGTTGGTGGTACTGCAGGTGATATACTTGGTAATTTAGTGGGCAATTTCGGTGGTCATGGAGGTATTGTTACCTTTAGAGTTACTTTTTTAATGTGCAAATATTGACAGTTATAAAGTATGATTGAAGAAATGATCAAGTATTGATATGAATGATATCATTGAAAGACTATCAAGCTTAGGTACTATTGAATAGCTATAGCTACAGGTATTATACCGATTATTGATATAATAGTATCAGTTTGATTACTGATACTGTTTTGCATGTTTTCTTTTTTTTTTGTTTTATCCGAGAAATGTGTAAATATTGGAGTGGAAATTAATAGATTTATTCAAATATCAACAAATATATCCGTGTAAAGAAGTGATGTAAAAATATTTACATTTGATAAAAGATTTTTAGCTGGAAGCGGATATGGATATAATCAACCTGGTGGATATGGAAGTGGTGGATATAATCAACCTGGTGGATACAATCAAGGTGGTGGTTACGGAAGTGGTGGTGGATATGATCATGGATATGGTGGTGCAGGCTTTGGTAGTGGTTATAGAGGTGATAGTGAAGGAGGTTATGGCAATCGTAATAGTGAAAATAGTGGTGCAGTTGGCCTGGTTGGAAATTTAATTGGTAAGTATATTATTCTAATGTTAAATCTGTGAAATCTAGAATTATTCGTTTCAGTTGTCATTTTTTTCCTGCACTTATATTTCATATTTATGTCATTTTGCATTTCTATTTTATAAAATTTTTGCTGTTAATCTCAATCAAATTTCTCTCATTTGAAGTCTAACCATTCCGTTAGAAAAATAAATTCTCAATTGTTGTAATGCATAAATTGAAGGTGGAATATTTGGCGGTGGAAAAAATCGTAACGATGGTGCTAGTAATGATGGTTACAATAATTATCGGGGTGGTTACGATGACAATCGGAAAAAACCGGAAAAAATGCGTAAGTTTATTTTTTGCTATTTTTTCACTTACAAATCTTAAAGTTCGAAAGGGCATATTGAAATTCTAAGTTAAACAACAGAAAAAAAAAAAACGAATCAAAATTGTTCTCTCAAATTTCCAATCGAATATTTAGTCCTAGCATGAGCACTAAAAATTACATTTAAGCAATAACAATCCTTAAACTTTGTACTTTTCCACTGAGCGGAAACTATCAACTTTACATCTATTATCTACTTCTAGGAGAACTTTAAGAATACTTTATTTTGCTTATTTTTTTCTTCTCTTCCAGATTATTATCCATAAAATTATTTTATTATTAAAAAAAAAAAAAACCCAATAATGATGAGTGTCGAAGGAAATTGTTTAGCAGTAGAGTAATAGTTAACGTTATATTTTAAGGTTCATTATTTAATTGCTTCTCTTAATTATTAATTTTATAACGTTTTCATATACAGAAGTGAAAATTTCAATTTTATAAAGTCTTAATTGTTAGTAATATTGTTTTTAAATGATATGGACAAGTGACTCATTTTTTGTAATTCCTGAAACTGAAGGTATGGAAAAGAAATATGTTTTTAATTTTTTTTTTTAATTGAAATTTATGTTTTATATTCAATATTAATTTCATCTGACATATGCTTTCCTGAATTTTTTTCTTTCGTTGTCAAATAAAAGGAGTATTTCTTTCATCACAGAATTTATGAATTTATCCCCTATATTTTTGGGCTCTCCTAGATTAATGGAATTGATTAGCAGCAGGCAATCATTTCGTTTTTGTTTATTTTTTTCTCTCTTTCTCTCTCTTTTTTTTAGTAGCCTTTTTTCATTTAGATATTTTTGCCATAAAACAAACAAATCATCCATTGTTTTTTCATTCTCTCCCCTAATAACTTTGTTTACATTTTTGTTTTTTTAAAACATACAAACAGTATTACTCATCATTTCATTTTTTTTTTCTGATCCTATTCAAATTTGAAACCAATTTTTATTATTTCAATGAAGAAAACAGTTGTCTGAACTATAAAATAATTTAGTCAGAAAGCAATATCCACCTTCCAACCATTTTATTTCATAAATTTATTTATCGATTTGTTTTATTATTGACATTTTGACTTTTCCCACTAATTTTCATCTTCTTTGAGAGTTTTTTTTTTTCTTTTCAAAAGTTTATTCTTCTTTTCTCTCTCTTTAAAAACATATTTATAAATAATGTATTCTTTGAAAATTTATTATTGACATTTTTTCTATGCCATTATGCTATTACAGCATTTCTATACTGTTCATTTCTTTATTACTTTCTGAATTTACCAAAATAATGGAGAGGCAGAACGATTTGAAATTTATCCAAATTTTTAGTAGAAAGAGAAATTTAATGTGAACAAATCACAGTTATCATTTCACATATATTTGTTGAAAAATAATTTAAGCAACTAAAATAATTAAGAATATTTAAAAAAAAAAAATAATAATTAAGCTAGGAAAATAAATTTTTTTATTTCCTTAACCATCTCAAGCTGAAAAGTAGACAATACTTCACATATCAAAAATATCTGATATACTTGAATTCATCGATCGATTTGTCCTATGCTTTAGCATTACTGTAGCATACTGTACTAATTGTCTAGAACAATTCTTTTACTTGTTGGCTTCAATTAAGTGCTCAAATTCATATTTAGAAATTAATTAACTAAAAGCATTTCATTTATTAAAGGAACAATCATTTTTCATTATGCAAAAAATACTATTTTGTTGAATAATATTTTTGTGATTATTGTAATTCTCAATTTTCACTTTCTTCACAAATCAATAAACAAACTATCGATAACTCATTTAAATTTCGCCAATGAGTCAGACAAACTAAATAAAAAGCCATTTGTAATTTGAAAAAGATTTTGTTTTTTTTTTTTTTTTTTTTTTGCTACCAGAAAATATTTGTGACAAAAAATTTACTCGTTTTATTATTTTTTTACTCATTCAATTTTCATTTCACTTTTTTTTGTATTTTTTGAAGATTTTTTTCTAAAAAAAATTTTTTTTCGTAGTTCAGGCAAGTTTAGAAGTTGATTTAAGATTTTTCGAAAATAAAAGTTATAAACTTTGCAAGTCTTGCTCTTTTTTCTGCCGGAAATGTTAAGCAGTTCTACAAAATTTAAGCTTGTTTAATTGAACTGGTCCGGTTTTTTTCTCATCGAATAGATACTAAGGGTTGACATTATGTTTCTTTTAATTATCTTTTTTTGGAGTTTTTTTCGCATAATTACATATTTCCTATTTTTAATATTCTTTTCATCTGCAATTTATGACTAATTAGCTATAAGTATAGCAGCGTAGCTTCAAATTAAATGATAACTATACTTTTTCACCTTTGCATTCATTTAACAATTGTCGTTATTTTAAACTAGTATTTGTTACATTTGTACATTTCATTAACATTTGTAGCTTTCATCAACATTTTCACATGAAATAAACGTTGTAGTTGAAGTTTAGATTCATTTTCTACTTTATAATAATTAAAATTGCTCCATAGTGTGTAATAGAATTCAACCGAAATGCTCTCTAATGTGCTAACATGCTGTATAGATCCGGAACATGATCGTTCCGGTGAATCCGACATGAAATGTTACAATTTTCAAGGTAATTGGAAATTTTTACCAGTAGAAAGCTAAATTTTTATCTTCTGATTATTAAATTTAAATTTTCAACAAATTACGAAAAATTTTGAAAATGCTGCTGAACTCTTCTTATATTTCAGGTGACCAAATTGGCGATATCATCGGTGGCTTTATTTCAGGTGGAGGAGGCGGCGGTAGCAGTAATTCTCACAGTAATTTCTTTATACATATATTTTTAATATAGGTAATGGCTGTCGGGAAATGGCTTATTTGAGCCTAAATCATTTCAGATGCTGGTGGTGGTATAAATGTTGGTGATATTGCTGGTATTATTGGTGGCCTATCTGGACCAGGTAGTAAAGGTCAGAAGATTAGCGGCCTTATAAGTGGAATTGGGGGATTAATTGGCAAAAAAGGAGGAAATTATAGAGATGGAGGTATTTTTTTTATTATAGCATTTTCTTAAATAATTAAGTCTTTTTATTTGACTTCTTTTGCATTTGTTTAGTTTAGTTTCTTAATTCAGTCAGAAATTTAAAGCTTATACTTTATTATTTATAAAAAATGAATTGTAAGATTGATTCGGGTTTTTTCTAATAACTCTCTCAGTTTTTTTTTCTTTTTTTTTCAAGATTTTTCAAGAAAGGAGACATGAACTTTCATTCTCAACGAGCATTGTTCTAACTCTACCTGTTGATTTTGTTTAACCTTAATAAATTTTAGGTCCAAATGTTGATCCAAATAATTTAAGCGGCGGTATGACAGATGTTGTGAGCGGTCTTGTCGGGCATTTAGCTCATCGTTATCTTAATGTTGATCCAGCTACGGGACGCATAATCGGTGCCATTGCTGGCAATTTTATTTTCAATCTTGGTAAATTATCTATTCAAAATTTATTAAAGCTTGAAATTTTTTTGATCGTTTGTTAATGTAAAAAGTCACATTTTTCTCAGGTGGCAAAGACAACAAGCTTGGAGCTGTGGGAAAAATCGTTTTAGACAATATTATCAGTGGTAAATTCAAGCGAAAGGTATTTGTTAGTATATTAAATTCAAGCGAAAGGTATTTGTTAGTATATCCTACAGAGGAAAACTATGAAATCTTAAAATATTTGTTTGTCCTACTTAATTTTCCGTCTCAGTTCACAGTTCAAGATTGAAGGAATGATTTCTTCTGCCAATTTTTTTTTTACGAAATTTTGCATTTACAGGTTGATCCATATATACCACCAGAACCATCACGACATTTACGCCCACCAGTACCTGACAGAAGAGCGGACGAAGCACTTCATTTTTACGCAGAACGAGATCGTTGCCTTGCTGTAGGGTTACTATTTTTTAGTGTAAAATAAATTAAATATAATAGAGGAAGAACAAATCAGTCAAGAAGTTTTTCAGATGCGACAACTTTTCGAGGATCCTCAGTTTCCTGCTAACGATAAAAGCTTATTCTTCAGCCGACGTCCACCCAAACAAATCGAATGGAGACGACCGGGAGTTTGTTTAAGGATTTTTTTTTCCATCCCTAATTTTAACGCTCCGTTCAAAAGATTATTTTACCGTCTTTCTTTCTTTCTTTCTTTTTTTTTTCAGGAAATATGTGAGGATCCACAGTTACTCTATGAAGGACATTCACGTTTCGACGTAGTACAAGGTGAATTAGGCGACTGTTGGCTTCTAGCTGCAGCAGCAAATCTTACATTGAAAGATGAGCTCTTTTATCGAGTTGTGCCACCAGATCAAAGTTTTACTGAAAATTATGCCGGTTTGTTCGTTTAATCAAAATTGATTTCAAATCTTAAATTGGATTTTCGTCTTCTTCATTTCTAATTCAAAATTTTATTTTTCTTGATTTAGCTTCCTTTAATTAAATTTTATTAAAATCTTGAAAATTCAAGGTATATTTCACTTCCAATTTTGGCATTATGGTGCATGGGTTGACGTTGTCATCGATGATCGTTTACCAACATCTACCAGTGGTGAATTATTGTACATGCATTCCAGAGATAACAACGAATTTTGGAGTGCTCTTCTGGAAAAAGCATATGCGAAGTAAAAGTTTCTTTTTATTCTTAAAAATATATGAATTAAATAGTTTCTTATGAGTTTTAAAAATTATTTATCAGTAATGAATGATATCCAGTTTAAATAATCTTTTTGAATTGACTGATGTTATTTCAAATGTAGTTCGGTAGCTTAGTAGAATTTGAAAATTTTTAATTTAAGGCTTCATGGTTCATACGAAGCACTAAAAGGTGGTACAACAAGTGAAGCATTAGAAGATTTTACTGGTGGTTTGACAGAATTTTTTGACCTCACACAACCTCCTAAACATTTGATGGAAATGATGATGAGAGGTTTTGAAATGGGTTCATTGTTTGGATGCAGTATAGAAGTATTTTTTCTCTCTTTTCTGTCTAACCCATTTTTTAGTGATATTTCGAATGTTTTTCTTCTGTGGACTTAACTGCTTGATTGTAAATCTAATAAAGTTATTGCCGCTAAGCATTAACGAAGTTAATCATAAAAAACTGTAAAAGCTTTTTATAAATCAAAAAAAGTTTTGCACAATTTTAGGCAGATCCAAATGAATGGGAAGCACGGATGCATAATGGTTTAGTCAAAGGTCATGCATATAGTATAACAGGAATGAAGATGGTAAAAATATTATAAAATTAACATTTATTTGTTTATCTGCCACATAAATCTTTCACTGTTTTATTTTTTTCACTATTTTATTTTCAGGTGAATGGACCACGTGGTAGTATACCATTACTACGTATACGTAATCCGTGGGGTAATGAACAGGAATGGAATGGTGCATGGTCCGACAATTCAGCGGAATGGAGGTCTATTTCTCAGGAACAACGCGATGAGATGGGTTTGGTTTTTGCGCACGACGGAGAGTTTTGGTTCGTTGTAATGTTGTTTTATCACAGTGATAGTTAAGTTCAAGTAGTTATACTAAATTCATTTTCCGAAATGTTTCAAACAGTAAATTCAACAGCATTTATAATTTAAAAAGAAACAGAGGTGTCTGGTTTAACTGAGTTGAATAGGTATCATATCGGAATAGCAAAGTTATTTGGATATATTTATTCCCTTTTCTGTAAATATTTCATTATCACTATAAATATTATATATGATATTGTAATAAGTAATATGCTAGGTATAATCAGATAATGAATTCAATTTCTAGGATGTCATTCAATGATTTCGTGCGTTGTTTTGAAAAAATGGAGATCTGTAACTTGGGTCCAGAGGTTATGGATGAAGTATGTTTTCTTTTTATTATAAATATAATTTAAAGGAATTATTTTTTTTTTGTATTCTTATTTTTATTAATAACAAATGTTCACATATATATAGGTTTATCAAATGACTGGTGTCCAGTCGTCACAGAATGCCTGGGCAACATATACTCATAATGGCATTTGGATTGCAAATGAAACAGCTGGTGGATGCCGGAACTATATCCGTATGCATTTTTTCGCTTCCTACTTTCTTTTTCTTTTTATTATTTTGCATTTTCAAAACTTCCCTATTCTATTACAGTAATGTCAGTCTGGTAAGAACTTGCCATATAGTTATCAAACTGTTTCTCTAAAGTAGTTCAATTTAGTTTAATTCTGTCATAACAGTAATGCTAGTTGTATGTGTATGCATATTTAAGCTTGTTTAATATTTTTCTGATGATTTTTATGCCATGTCGCATCTTTAGGGACATTTGCAACGAATCCTCAATATCGTATCCAAGTAACAGATTCGGATCCATATGATGATGACAACCTATGTACAGTGATAATTGCTGTGTTGCAAAAATATCGACGTGAGATGAAACATATGGGTATTGAGAATTTAGCTATAGGATTTGCTGTTTATGATGTAAGTTTATTCTTTTTTTTCCCTATTCAAATAATTCATCTGAATTAATGTTGAAGTGTTAACTATTGTTAACTTTATCAATAATTTTATCGGTAGAAAAGAGAATGGCGCAGAATAATCTGATAGCTACCATTTTCAAATTTAATGAAAACCAGTGTGGAAAGAAAAAAAAACTTGTTAGGAATGATTACTTCTTTTTCTTACGGAAAAATCTTTAAGCTTTCTCTTCTCTTTTAACTTTTTTCAGCAATTGTAGTTTAAATCTTTTGAATTAAAAATGAAATAAGAAGTTACTGCTAGATTTTATGGCTTATATGTTTCATGAAATTATAAAATGACTTGCTAACTCCTTTAATTTAAATTTCATATCGTATCATCAATCCTCATAATTTCTCCAGTCTCCAGTAGCAGTAAATAACAATGAATTTGCAAAAAAAAAAAAAAATGTTGAAAATATTGATGCAATACCAGAATTAATTTTTTTTCGTCCGCTATCCATTTTTGGCTACATAAATCAGAATTTTTTTTTGTTTTTGTTTTGTTTTTTTTTCAGGTTGGGAGCTATAATGGACGTTTAACACGAGAATATTTCCAGCAACATAAATCATGTGCTAGGAGTGCTGCGTTTATTAATTTACGAGAAGTAATTATTTTTCAATCATTTAGATTTAATTATTTAAATGAAGTGCTGCGCCAGAAATTACTTTATATACGCAGAATTTTTGCGTATTTAGTCTTTTTTTTCTTTTGATTTAAACTTTTAATTGTCTTTAGAGTACATAATTTCTTCCTGTTTTTTTTGCAGATAACAGGTCGTTTTCGAATCCCACCGGGAAATTACGTAATCGTACCGTCAACATTCGAACCGAATGAAGAAGCGGAATTTATGCTTAGAGTTTACACAAATGGTTTTATTGAATCAGAGTAAGCAAATAATTTTTTGATGAAAATTTAAATTTTCAAAAGAATTGAGCAAGTTACTTCATGGCTCGTAGTATGCAGCAAATAAAAGTTTTGTTTATGCTTAACCATTTAAATACTTTGTTCAGAAACACCAAAAACCACAGTTAGAAAATTTTTGAATTCAAATTTCTTTTTTTAGGCAGTTGTGAATTTCGGTCGAAGTATGGTTAAAATGTTTCTTACCAACATTATTTTCCCGAAAATTATTGTTCGAATAATATATTGATTGGTGCATTTATTAATTGTTCTTTCATGATTCTCACCACATATATTGAATTTTAATTTATTTTCTAATGAATTCATATTAATTTATTGTTTGTTTCTTAACAGTGATAATTATATCTGTTCACACAATAAATTTGTGAATAAAATTTTTTACAATCCACAGCTAAAATTTCAATGAAAAATAAGTGATATTTGTTCTGGAAGACTGAAAAATATTCTTTTCCTATCCCTGTTTGCTTTTTTTTTTTTTTTTTTTTTAATAATTTCAGTTAAATAAGATATAGTTGCGTCACGAAATTTCCATTTTCGTCTGATCAATGTTTGAATTCAAGACTCAGAAATCAGTGTTTGAATTCGAGAATTCACAAACGTCTATTGAATTCAACTACACTTGTTTTTAATTTACCTGGCTAATTCGAAAGCTCTCGATCTTCTTCGTTGTAATATCCCCAATTATAGACTAAATTCGATTGCTTCCCAGTAATACACTTAACTTTTCACAGGATATTAGTTTAGATTGTCATTTGTTCCTGTTTCCAGTCCATCTTGTATTTTACGGGGTATCTATTTTACTTTTTGGTGTTACTGAAGGTTTCGAAGATAAATGAATGGAGAATTATTAAAAAGCGGGACCTGAAATTGATTTATCTCAGTAATTGTCCATTAAAGTAATTAATTACTTGTTTACAATCACGGATAAATCATATACATTATAAGGAGTTCAGTTGATTGATCATTTATTTCAGGCCATAATTGATAATTTAAGTAATTTGTTGATTAAGTAATTGTAAAGGCATTATATTGTTACATTGTGCAAAATTAAAAGTAATTTCAGGTTATTTTGAAAAGCAAATGAAATTTTCTTCGTTGCATAGTTATATCCGTCGTGCGATCCAATATAAACGAACTGAAGTTAACAAAACTAAGTCATTCTCGTATACCACTTATGTGATAAAGGAATTTTTAATTCGATTAGGAAAATCAATTGGAATTTTATCCGTACCTGTCGTATTTATTGATGTTATTGGCTATCCAGCAAGTATTATTGGATCATCAATGGAGGTTATTTTTTCACTGATTTCTTCCTCTTTTGAAATTTCATTCTGTTTGATAAGAGTAATAGAGTAATTAGTTGTAATCGAAGGAATAAATGTTTTTTTACCTGGAGTAAAAGGGATATCTGGTTAGTGGTACGCTAAATAACTGTGTTTTGTTATACGCAAAACTTTCTGTCTTATTCTAGAGAAAACGAAACAAACATAAGCTAAGGAAGTAGGAGTTGGAATTTTGCCTTTTATCTAGGATTTCATCCATTTTTTGAAGTTTATTAATATCGAAAGATTAGTAACTTTTACAAGCGAAAATCCATTTTATGTATTAATGTATTTGTTACTGATATATTCGTATATTTTTCTGCAGTGTTTATGTATTACATTATATATAGCTTACCATTTTTATTGACCTATAAGTTATTCTGAATGAAGTTAAGATTCCATTAACATTATTGACTGTTTTCTCTTAATTGTTTTGTTTAGCCAACATTATATGGTAGTAGCAATAAATGGTGGAAACGAGATATTGTTTGGTTATCACGTTTTGGTTTACAAACACCAGAAATTGGACAGATTTACACGTTTATGTATTATCTTTATCCATTTCGTTATTTGAATTTTTGAAAACATCAAAGATATTTATTTTGTTACGTTTTGGTTTCAATTACTTTCAAGTTCAAAATTTTAATAATAATAATAAGATTCTTCTAGCCCACCGAATGATCCTGAGACACGTCACATCAAACGTATCACTGCTATGGATGGTGACATAATCAGGTATTATATTTGCTTAAAATTTTCATATCAGCCCTACAATCAGGTCAAGCTTATTTTTTTAATAAAAATGTAAAAATCAGAAATTTACTCAAACATTGCAGAAAGGTTTGAGTATATTTTCATGATTAATCATATCTATTTGAACATAATATGTTGTACTACGTTTGTTTGAAATTCGATTCTATCAGGAATGTTAGCCGCATCGAATTTAATGGCCATCTATTACGATTGTTTTAAATTTGGTATTATATAGTAGTTAAGGAAAAATAAGTACATGCTTTAATATTTATTCTAAATTTTGTAATAAATTTAGTTTTTACTCATTTCTAACTGTAGGCCAAAACGAGGACCAAGTTTTTTGGAAATACCAACTGGTTGTTATTGGATGGAATCTGACAATCCTAATAATTATTGCGATAGTAGATTGTATGGTCCGGCAAGTTTTACAGCCCTTTTTTATTTTTAAACTATTTTTGACTAAAGTTATTCATTATTTTGACATACATAGATCTTTAATGAACCATTAATGAATTTTATAAATAACATGGTGGCAATGCAGGTTTCCGGTGGATTGTTAACAGCTCGAGCTACACATATCATTTGGCCTCCGAAACGATGGTGTACCATTAAAACAGAAGTATTCGAACACAGCACTATTCCAGTTTCAAGACGATACTCATTTTTCGGGATAAATTTTCCATGGTAATTTGTAGACCTGTGAATAATATATAGAATATGGTATTAAGAGTAATAGTGAATAGTATTAATAATAATGAAATAAGATTAAATATTCGCTCAGAATATTAGAAAATTATAAATATTGATAATGATTGAATCTTCAGTCAGTTTTTATCTATTACTGATAAGCAACACAACTGTATGTTAATGGCATGATGAAAGTAATAATTTTTTTTTAAAAAAAAAGGAACACTATACAAGTGATTGAACATTCCTGTATTTAACTGCTTGCTGATCAGGTCTTAGTCTGAAATTTTCCTGTATATGCTATTGGTTAAATATTATCTAAGCATTACTGCATTTTCACATTGCAAGTAAAGTAGTTCGGCTCTGATTATGTAGAATTATTGTCTATGCTAGTAGTTTGTATGGTCCAGCAAGTTGTACAGCCCTTTCTTATTTTTCAGCCATTTTTGACTAAAGTTATTCATTACTTTGACCATACATAGATCTTTAATGGACCATTAATGAATTTTATATTGCCCTGGTTTACACCAAATCTCAAGTGATAATAGATTTTTTATGGTGTTTTATCTCATTTCAATGTGAATGACAATTATCATGTTTGAATGACAATTATCATGCTTATTTTTATCTTACATTGTGAATTATTTATAAACATATAGTATTTATGAAACAGGTACAACAGTTCCTGAGTAGCGACCAACTACTGTCTATTTATAGTATGTAAACGGGTCAGTCAATGAGCTTCAACATCTACCTTTACTATTTTTATACTGTTCTATTTATTCGTAATAATAATAATTGAAGCTTGAAAATCTCAATCGTTTGAAATGTAAATGAAATTGCAAATTCATTGTATAGTACTATATCTTGTTAAAATAAAATATTTTTCGAAACAAATTTTTCTAAAACATTCAATTTATGCAAAATGTGGTTTAATAGAAAGATATACAAAAGGAAGTTTTATTTTCATTTGCATAGTGCTTGAAGAAATTGCATGAATCAAACATATAAAACTTATCATTCATCTTCCAACTAACTATGCACTAAAGTGCGGAGTATATGTGAATAATGTACAATTTATCAATAATTATACTGTACAACATAACAACAAAGAGAACGTAATAATAATTGAAGCTTGCAAATGTTAATTGATAAAAGTGAGTTTAAACTATAATAAAAATGACTCGTGAATAAATAACACGTATAAACAGTAAAACAGAACTTCATGTTGTATTCTATATTCAATGATGAAATTGGAAATTAATACTATACAAATATAAACATAACATCATTTCATAATTTTTAAAAACAGATAAATTGCAACAAATCAACTAAAAATAATTTATCCTGAAAAGCTTGAACAACAGTAGTAATATGTGTTCTAATGTTTTATGAAGTTCGGTGATAATATTTCGTAAATCTTACTGGAATATGTGCTATAAAATTTTCATACCATGAAAAATGATGACATTCTCATGAATTGAAAACTTATAACTGAAAATGATTTGAAATAAACTTTACCATGCTCAAACCATCGGGAAAAAATTTGGTAATTTCCATTATACTAGTTTTTCTAATGGTATAAATCACTGTAGAATATTATCAGTAAGATCTACAAAATGTTGTCGTCGAATTGTAAGAAGAAATTTGAAATTAAAAAGGAAAATAGAGTCATTCCATAACTATATATCGTGGAACTATTCATTTGGAATGGTCTGTTAAAAAGAAAAAAGAAAAAAAAACTGAATTAAAAAACTCGGATTAGAGAAATTCCAGTTCTGATTAATCGTTCATATCGAGAAGCCATTCTTTTGTTAAAGCCAAAGAAATTGAAGCATTGATTTTTTGCTGCTTTGCATGCAGCTCGAAGTCTTTTAACCTGAAATTTCACCATAAATATGTGAAGTACTAACTTCTGTCCAAATTAACGAATATTTCACAAAACTAAAATTGCCTTATATATATTATAATAATATAAATTTTACTAAATTATAATGAAATTAATTAATGGAATTATTTCGATTAAATATAAATTGGATATTTTACTTTACATTACTATTTTGTGATGATATACTTCACTAAAGTGTATGTTTAAATAAATTATATTAGAATATTGAAGCATACACTGAGGAAAGTTCATTTTTTTCTGTCGATTTCGATATAGAATTATTTGATTTCCCACTTGCTATTTCTGCAGCTTCCAGGCGACACTAGAATTGATTTATTAAATGGAAAAATTTTTCTAAAAAGTAATACAATTTAATTTTCCAAATGGAGAACTAGAAAATATTTATAAGGTTACGAAAATTTTTCGGAAGAAATTTCTGAGAAAAATTTTTTAAAACCTTTCTTGCCATTGATCATATTTATTCTATTAAAGATTACAACAGAATATGATGCATTCTTACAAATAATGAATAATTACCTCATTGGTCTGCTCAGTGATAGCAATTAACTGGAGAGTTTCGTCTAATTGCTTTTTCGTTTTGAAAAGTTTATGTGATAAATCAAACATATCTCTAAAAAATTAAAAGCAACGTATCAGAGCATATTCTCAAGTAATCAATCTAACTGCAAATGTGATCATTTCAACATAATGTGCAGGATAAAATAATTTTTTGAATAAAAGGCAAAAATGTTTAAAATTTCACCAATGAGTGGTTTACTAACACATAATTCGTAAAGTTTAAGAAATCGCTTTTTTTTTGAGAAAAAGAGATCGAAAGAGAAAAAATAAGAAAAATATGAAATAAATTTATATCGTTAATTTATCAAAACAAACGATGTATTGTTGAATAAGAGAAATCGCTTTACTGTATATCAAATTTTGGAAAAAAATAAACAGCTAATTCTGAAGGATGGGAATCGAAAATATGAGATGGACAAAATATGATTAATTTCTGACAAAATTTTGATAAATCATAAAATTCGAATTACAGAAAGAATGAAACAAAGAAATATAAAGCTTACCTAGCTATCATTTGCAATGGTTCTACGAAGATATCACTAAGCTGCTTCAACTTTTCATCATAATTTCTCACTACTTTTTCATAAGAATTCAACAAATATTTCCTGTAAGCAATTTTCTTTCCACAAAGAGAATAAGATATTTTCATATTCCGTAACACATGATATATTGAAAAGAGAATTATTATATTAACTGATATTCACGAATAAATTATTGCGTAAATAAAGAAGAAACTTACCTATCGGCCTCCATTTGTAAAGCATTTTCTGAAGCATGGCTATATGGTAAAAAAGTTCGATATTTCTAGAAATAAAGAAAGTGCAATTTGAATGCTCTTATATTTGGGGTATATCTGACAATACTTATCAAGTATATATTTGCATAAATGTTTAAGCCAGCATGTGACATCGAAAAAGAAAAATATATATATTTGAAAAATATATAAAGCATATATATATATATTTCAAACTTTTTTCTTAATAACATTTCTTATGATACATAAATATCAATTATATCTTAGCATACATACACATTCATTATATAAAACAATTACTTAAACAATAAACATACCACAACCGTTTCAAGTTCACCTTTCAAAGATGGTTCTTTCACAATATGTTTTGACTCAATAACAGCAATACGTACATCAATTTGTTGCAACATACTACATACCCATTTTACTGCTTCTGTAAAATGTTTCCAAAAAAAAAAGTGAAAAACTAAATAAATTTTTGTCGTATCAAAAACAAAAAAAAAAAATTACAATCAAACTTTTTTGCTTTCTTTTAATTATAAAATTCATTATTCAAATTCTTTAATCATATTAAAATTCATAAAGCTCGTTCACTGCTATGGCAACAATGATAACTTATGTGATTCTGATGCATCAATGGAATTAACTGATTTATTGGTTATTTTAACGTTCATGTTTTTTTCACTATTGAGCAGTTACTTCTCAGTTTACTAATAAATTGAAAAACAATAGCTACAAAATTTCGATTAAAAACGTTGCAAATGAGAAATAGTTGATCATAGTATGATTGCCTTGAACACGAAACTGCATACGCAATGCATTCGACAAATGGTCATATCACATTTGAAAAGATAAATCAACTTGAACTAATCGATAATCATAATATATGATTAGTTACAACAAATCATGATAATTTCAAACATACACATTTCAAAAAAAAAAAAATTAACAAAAGAAAAATAACGCACCGCCGATAAAGTTCAATTCTCGTGCAACCGAATGTGCATTATTTTCAACCGCTTTACGTTCCTCAGCTGTTTCCTTATTCAATGCAATTGCCTTAGACAATAAACGTAACTGTTTCGCTAAACGGCTTGCAAAATTGCAATCATGCGCTAAAATTTCAGCTTCTTTTAATAATTTGGCATATACTGTACGCAAAATTCCAATAACAGTTGGTATTGCATCCTGTAATTCATATGTTTGTCGTTCCACACTTAACGTACTCGCAGCAGCAAGTTTCATCTCATGAAAGGTTGGCTCATGATTACATTGCGAAAACGGTGAATGCACTGAAAATTGTATCAGATCATGAATATATATATATATGTATATGTATATCGATCGCTTATTTATTAACTTTAATTAAAAGCGGAAAAATCATTTTATGTTATGAATGACATTTACATTAAACATTATTAAACAACAAATTTTTCATAATATTGAAAAATTGATTTTCTCTTCGTTATTCAGTTTAATCATTAGTTATTAAACATGATATTCGGAAAGGGTAGAAAAGAATGTGAATGTGACTTGAAAC